GGATGGACTGCGACTATTATAAATTCCAATTTTCTATGTAATTGTACGTTTTCCGCTTACCAAATATCACACGAAGATGTAATTGTAACAACAGAACATGAATAATTATATTAATTCGATGTCATTTCTGATTCCTTTGTTTAAATCGGTATATTAGGGACAAATATTGACAAAATTACATTTTTTGTGGCAGATTTCGAATTCATTTGTGTTCATGCTAAACTATTGGACAGCCGAGCACCAAGAATGCCATTGCAGATGGAGTATGAATATGTTGATCACCGACTGGAACATACTAGCTATTCTGTAGAATATCCAAACCAATAATCTACCCCAAATCCTAACATGCCTTCCAAATTAAGTTTGGACTTACTGCCATTGTTCAGCTATAATGCGTTGTAACCTCGTTTTGAATTACGCGAGTCGCAGTCCGTGGCTTCGCCCTCGTTTTGCTTATCCCCCGTGTATAATATACACTATAAAAACAAGCCGCTAGACACCCTAGTGGGTATATGTTGCGGTTTAACAGAAATTATTAAAATGACATCTAGACTACATGTACATATAAAAGAAAACACTTATATTATGTTACATGTAGATCTTTATCTCAAGCTTAAAAATGTCAAAGATAACCTAAGCTGAGTCATTTGAAAAAGACAAGTCTCGACTTGGAGAAAAGTCTAATGGGCTTATAATTTTTTATTAAAAGTATAGAAATAATATCCATATCTGCAATATGTAAAAATATCAAAATTGTCCGAAGTAGGCGTAACGTGAAGTAGTCCGATCCAATAAATGACAAGTGTCTGTTTGGAGAACGAAGTTCATACTGCGCTAATATTTTTTTATGAAAAATATATAAATAACACCCTTATTATATTATCATGGATATTCAAAAGAGGATATCTAAATCTACAATATGTAAAAATATCAAAATTGTCCAAAAGAGATGTAACGTGCAGTAGACTGATGAACTTCATTCTCCAAACCGAGACTAGTACTTTGCATTTTTTATCGATTTTTTTGTTTCAGTATAGTCATCTCAGGTGCAAATCTGTTCCTTTAAAAAGATCCAGTCGTCTAGATTTCTATTCTGGACAATCATTAATGTCCCAATATAATTGCTCATAAAACATTATATATACCTTAGATATATCTTGAGACCAAATCATAAGCACAATATCACCAATATATTGAAGAAATCAACAGGACAACCAACATAACAACCAACTGTCAGAATTGAACGCAATAAGTTGAAAACAATAAATGAAAACAATGTTTTTTGGGATTTATCTATATTTTAACCCCTTAGAAGTAATAAATATGGCTTCTCTGAGCCAAACCAATCTGTTGAAAATGAAGGAAAATGGAATCAGACTGGAACAAATTTGAGCGGGCTTTTTAAATCTTATTTTGAATTTCTATTGATGAAAGTGGAAATTCATGGCTGAGAACAATCATCGAATTGATACTGTTAATTCAAGTCTCAGAATTGGTAAGTTGATAAACAAACTTGTTTTACATCAAATAACACGAAAAATCAGGGGGTTACTCTAATTGTGTTTTTAGGAGACCCGATATCTTTAAAGTGTCAAAATGTTTATTTATACAGGGTGGTCCAAAAAATTGGAAATTTAATAATTGAATTCTTTATAGATTCTTTATTTTTCTTCTAAAATGCACCAAACTTTAACTGAGCATAGTTCAGTCACTTATTTATCTGATGTAAAGTTTATAGGTGCAAACAACAACGTAAATGCATTAAACTAACCAATGTTTGATATGACCCCTCTTCTCCTGAATTACAAGTTGAAGCCTGGGACTTTGAAATGATTCATTCACCTTGCTTTTCGTTCGATTTTGTCCAAGCCATCTTGGTTAAAAAAATCAGCTTGAACAAACTACTTATATCTTTGCCTTGGAAGATCAAATATATGAACATATTCAACATTTTTGGGTGGGTATCAAGCATATTTTGATGGCTATTGTTGGGTGAACTACTGATTGAATATTCTCCAGAAGGAGGCAAGGGCAGTCTGTTTTGACTGGTAAATGAGCCCTCTCCTTTCTTGTTCTAATATGAATAATATTCATTGAATATTTATTGGATATCCTATGATTTTGAGGAATATCATTTTTATCTACGAGGTGATATTGATATTTGCACGAGAGAGCGAAGCGAACGAGTGCATATATCAATATCACCGAGAAGATTAAAATGATATTCTGAAAAAAATCATAGGATGTTCTTATTATCCTACACTCACAAGGAGTGTACTGAGTGTATAATATCATTGTAAAATGAATTTCATGCCAGATAGAGTCAATTTGGCGGGAAATCAACAAGCGGAGTATATCGTGACAATATCCTCCGCATATTGGGTTTTCCGGAGTATATCGTCACGATATCCTCCGCCCGGAGTATATCGTTACGATATCCTCCAGATATTCATTTTGCCAATAAATATCAAATTTATTTTTTCATGTTATTATACATTTAGTACACTTAGTGTAGGATAAATCAATTTATCCTATGCCAAGTAGAGTTTTAGGGAGATAAGTTGGTAAGATATATCCCGTATTCTGATTTTGAGGTTTCCATATCCTGAACCTCCATATCTCCCGCCATATCTCCCGCTCCAGGGCATATCTTCCCGCTTCGAAAAAAAATTTGAAAAAATAAGAAAAATTGAAAAAAATAAAAATGTGAAAAAAAATAAATAAAAAATAGAAAAAAAGAAAAAAGAAAAAAAAATAGAAAAAATAGAAAAAATTGAAAAATATGAAAAAATTGAAAAAATAAAAAAAAATTGAAAAAAATTGAAAGAAAATTAGAAAACTCTACTTGCTATAGGATAAAGCAGTTATGTACGATCGGTTTGGATATTGGGTTCATCCCTCGTGAGATATGCACATCTACTAGAGGTGGTCTTTAATAAAGCCTTGTAAATAATTGGTCAGTTTCCCCTTTACTGAAAAGTGGAAACAAATGATTTTGTCACTTTAGTAGCTGTATGGGTTATGCAATCACTCACCTCTTACATGTTCTTTCTTTCCTACTCTTAAATAAAAATAATGATTTGGGGTATTCTTAAGTTAACAAGAACACAATAGTTTTCTAGTAAACCATAGATGTTAATACCTCTTGTCAACTGAATATGATTTTATAAAATGTGTATAGCAATCAACATGTTCATTAAAGCTTTGAAATAAAGAAAACTTGAAAAAGTAGCGGCGAAATTGACAAGTGTATATTTAAGAAAAGGGGGTCATATCAAACATTGACTAGTTTAATGCATTAACTTTGTGGCTTGCACCTATAAACTCAACATCAGAGAGATAAGTGACTGAACTATGCTCAGTACAATTCTGGTACATTTTAGAGGAAAAATAAAGGTTTTGTGTTCAATTAAAAAATGTTCCAATTTTTGGACCACCCTGTATAATGGGGTCATATGTTGAAAACGTTTTCAGTTTCAAAGGGCAAACAAATACACACCATTCATGATAAGATTGTATCTCTCGGTTAATGAGCTCAATTGAGCATGTTTTGAAAAATCTCAGCAGATCGGTATCAAGCCCGCCGCATCATGAAATCGTTGGAAATCATTCTTAAATGAATGATCGTTCAAATTTTAAAAGCTTACACCATGCCCCTGGATGAGTTTGAACATTATTACTGGTCGTCACTAATGTTAGAGGAAAAACTATCATTAACCTAGGATGATAAAGACCAAGGTATTTCCATATATGGGCTTATGGTGCAGACCTGCTAATAGCACATTTGAAATAGCTCAATTTGGCGGAATGTCTTGAACCTAGATAGTCTTTAACAAACGATGTATGTTCCTTTGCACCAAAAAAAAACTGAAATAACTCCTCACTTGGAAATATATGTCCCCGGTGCGTACACGAACATTGCATCACCTCATATTGAATAGTTTTTAATTGCTTCAAAATGGATATGAGGAAAATGAAGAAACACTAGAAAATCTTTAAGCTCAATGCGCCATATAGGTACGAGAAATGATAGCCGAAGAACACAATGCTCAACTAGCTGTCCGGGGTACTATAATATCAAACTTTCTTTGGTACTTAGCACCCATTTTGTAGTTTAAGATCATACTTTTTTTAATGAAATGCTCTATTTATAAGAACAAAGAATGTTCTACGAAATAATACAGAATCAGAATGGAAATAAAGTAGGCGTACTAACGTGTTCTTTTTAGAAATCAGCTTAATCAGATATCGATAATTAAACAGGGCGTTGTAAGTGGCGTTCCCAATAAACACAAGTCCTCGAGACAGTTAATACTAGTATTCTTTAGGATATGTAGTTCTTACATCATCACATATGCGATGATCGACCAGTTTTCTCAATAACTGAATAAGCGACTGTTTCTATAAGCAAGCTTGGACGATTAAACATTACTACTGTCGATCATGTATGGTTCAGCTACTGTTTCATGGTTTAATGTATTTCAAACAACTTCAGCTATAGTTGTGTAACTACAAGCGAGAAGCTCATGTGGATATCACTTGATAGGCATGATTATGACAATAGCTTGCACTTGGGAATATAATTACACAAATTAACAATAGTCTTGGGACCAATTATTGTCAAAGGCCATTTCAGTGTGCTTTTGCTGCATCGCGCTGGGCAATCCGTTAGTAGGCGTTCAACGTGAAATGGTCCACACTCTACATCGTATTGTTAGAATGGTCTTGTAACGTACATTCTCTGGGGATGAGGAACGTAGAGCTTGTCAAGACGTCACCACAGCATATTTGATCGAAAAAAGACATGGCCGAGGAAACGGAATTAAGGATGCAAGGAATCTATAACATACTATGCGATTCAGATTCTTACTTTGTGAAATATGAACTACTGCAAATATAATGAGATAATTTAGCCAATGGAGACATCAATTGATATTAAAGACGTGATAAACAAAAAAACAAACCCATAAACATTTATCAATAAAAATCATAATATGCGATACGATTAAGACAATACTATTGTTTAGATCATCAATCGTTACTTTGTAGACTGCTGATCAAATAGTGTAATTCGCTTTTAATATAAAGTAATTCACAAGGAAAGCAATTAGCTTATTTACATGAAACTGCTGATATCCGAGACGAATATTTTATTTAATGATGGCGAATGTGATAGAAGGAAAAAAGGCGCAAATGATGCAACTCTATAACTCGATATGATGGCTATTTTTACATTAAATTATGACTGTTAAACACCACCAGTCTGGGAGTACTCTCATAATGGAGGACACTCACCATAAAGAACTTCATAAACTGCTGGAAACATCATTAGACAAGCGGGTGGTAATCAATGTCGGGGGTCAAAAATTTGAGACTTTTGTATCTACATTGGAACGCCTCCCAAATACCAGACTTTCTCTCCTGGCACAAAACCTTGAGGCTGACGAGAGTTATGATCCGTTGACTAGAGAGTATTATTTTGATCGCCACCCTGCAGCGTTTGCCGCCATTTTGCAATATTATAGATCTGAAGAGCTACATGTAGATCAGAATATATGCGGCAACGTCATGAAAACGGTAAATTAATTTTGTGATTATCTCGTAGTTCTGACGTTTTTTGCCTGATTTAATTTCGTTTCTCAGTAGAAGTTTCAATGATTTTGCAATTCAGAAATTATATGCTTCGTCGTAATGTACAAACTGTGCATGGTTCATATGGCCCAGTAGAATGATGTCATGATCGCGAAGGAGTGTGTACAAGGTGACCCCGGGAAGGTGACCCAGGGGTCCAAATATCGAGAGAGTAAGGGGCATGCTAAATATGTAGAGTTAATGTTCTTCCACTATATTTGGTTGTCTGGTCGTTACTCAAGTCTCCTCGAATGTGTCCCATCTTGAAATGGACTTTCTATTGTGATGTTTGACCGTGAAATTTCAGACTCAAAAAATGATAAAATCGACTAGAACATGCCGTGTCCTTACAACTGATACTTCACTTTTGTTAATGAATCTTTTTCAGTATCAAAATTCGATCTACTATTGCATAGGTGAAATGTCGAACAATATGATGTGTTACTTGAGCTGCTCGATGCGAAAAAACATGTCACGAAATGAGAAACTCGCGTCATTTGTAGCTCGAGAGTCGCAACGCCGTCACAACATTTTTATAGAATTAGTGCTAAATTCTTTCCATTCTTTCATAATCAAAGATCATTCTCATATGTATTACATAATTAATAAAGTTGCAAATTATTTTCCACCTCAAACTCTGAGCATGGTACAAATAGGTTACATTGAACAGGCCTGTAGCCAGCGTTTGCCAAGGGGCGTTCAATTTCTAAAAATTCCCCAGGGAGCTTGCATTCTACAAATTTGGCCAAAAAATGGCTCGAACCCCCCCCCCCATCCTCCTGGCTACGGCCTTTTGAAGAAATAAATACAATGTCAGACAGACATTTGTCTCTCTTTTAATTCCATATGGTATATGCAATGTAAACAGTAAAATCGAGGAAAGACGGGAAATATATATGTTCTTTATGTTCTTGTTGCGTTTAAGACTTGGAACGGTCAAAGCGCAATCAGAAACGTTTGTAGAAAATTATTTTAATTTAGCTTATAACAAAAATAATAAATGTTTTTCTACACCAGCGATTTCTTCGTACATTCCATTAATATGTTATTAGAAATGTCTAAAACATTTTGATATGCCGTATTTTGTTTCTGTTAACGACCAGTCAATAAATATCATTTGACCATGATGACAGCGACGATGATATGGCGTGACGCATGTCAGTCGGTCAATAAAAATAAAAAAGATGTTCATCTGTACAACAAGATAGGTTCATATTTTAATTCTGGGCTTCCGCCATTTATTTATAACAAAGTACCTGTTACATTGCCACAAAAGCTCCGTTCAAAGAGTCTGAATCGATGTCCCCATATATAAATCCCACGTTTGTTTACAGACCTAAAAATCAATGCGCGCAATAAATGCAACAATGTCGCCGTGGCCTTGATCACCATGTAAGCATCAGAAAGTTGTTAAACATTTGTGGCAACACATTCTGATACTCATCGTATCGTTCTGTCTTCATAATTTCTCACGATGATGGCAACATGGTCTGAATGGATAGATGTTAAGAATTTTAAACGTCGTCAAAATTAATCTGAACTCCGTCAAAATTACTTTTTAAGCGCCGTCACAATATTTTGATATATTATGTGCTGTTTTCATTGTGTCATACTTTGATTTTAGTCTGCAATTTATAATGTATATTCAAGGCATAGTACTTTGACTACATTTTACTCTCTAATTGTAAGGGTAGTAATTCTACACACCAGTATTGTTTTCAAACTAGTGTTGTTTTTGTTTTCAAAGAATAAACCATTAGTTATGAATTCGCTGTAGCCATAGCAAAATATATGCCCAGACAACAACGAACGTTTCAGGCAATTCAGTCTGAAATATACGCGTCGTGACAATCTATTTTATAGTATTTAATTATTTATATCGGTAAAGCCATATAGGCGATGCCTTTTAATCCCATGAATAAATTCATTATTTTCAGTAATTTCAAGCAGTATAGCCTAAATATAGGCGATTGTAAAATGAAATGAAATGTTAGGTTTTCCAAATCAAGACATTTAAGATATAGTACATTCTGTAAGCTACGATGCATATGAACATTATGAGAAATGTGTAAAGTTAGCATGACAATACGTAAACACTTTTTCCACAAGTAACCACAATCATTAATCTCTGAATAAATCTGAACAACAATCTATTGTAAATTAACGCAGCCCCACTCGTCCACCTTGCCATATCAGTGAGCATATGACGTCGTTACATTCCGTTCTTTCTTACTCATCTAATTATACCATCACAACGGAGTAAAAATATATTTTTTATCTAATTCAGAATTTCTCAATGTTACCAGGTTATTCATTTAAAAACGATTACATTTTCTCTTAAATTATGTATAAGGAAAAAGTGAAGCTATAATTTATTGACAGGCTGGTGTATTCATGTATCCCTGGTGACACGTGGATGTTACACAATGTAGGTACAGCTAACAGCAGTTGAGCTATTTGCGGCGATGCTGGATGGAATGATGAACAATGGAAGCTAGCGATACTAACTTATCTTGGCGCTAATCTTGTGTTAAGAAAATACAAGTAATCGGATTGATGACGAAGTATAAGCCTTCAGATTAAATGATACATCTTAAATGATGGTAATGTAAGAAGTTCATAAATACCATTGAAAATTAATATGATAGGGGCAATAGCTGCGTCCACAACGTTTGGAAGGGACACTAGTATTACGCAAAATGTTAGACAAACTAAAGTGCCCAAACAAGCTAAAGAACGAGAGAAAAACATCATGTCATTGGATAGATCAAATATAGATGAAAAACTGATCATCAATGTAGGGGGAGTGCGGAGTGAAGTGTTTGTGTCCACTCTAGAAAGATTGCCCGGCACAAGACTCTCTCTACTTGCTAACTTGCTCAAGTCAGATGAAAGTTATGATCCGTCAACAAATGAATATTTCTTTGATCGGCATCCGATTGCCTTCCAATCGATTCTAGATTTCTATAGAACGGAGGAACTGCATATGGACCAGAACATCTGTGGGAATAGCTTTCGAACGGTAGCCATCATTTTATCTTGATTATATCAGTATATCATAATGTATGTGGTACTATGCACTGATTTCAACATCCGCACCAAGATAGATTGATTATACGTTGAAATTGTCAATTCTCTTGCGTCTCGTGTGAGGTCCAAAATAAGCTGATGAGTATGTAAGATACTTTCGATTGATTTTACTCAGATAATTTTAAACTATTTTGTCACTTAAAACCCATACTTTACTTACTAGTCATTTCCCTTGCAAATGCGTCCAATACTCGTTAACCCAACTCGCGATACCCAATAACTGCATCACTTGATCTCGATATCGTTTGTCAATGATTTTGTGATATTCGCAAGAATTTTGTCATGTGTAAAGATGTGGCTATCGACGCACGTAACTGATTAACAAATTGCAACAAATCAAATCTCAAATAATTCCAATCCAATTCTAGAATTGTTATAAAAGATAATTATGTCAATACAAATGTATTTTCATTAATTGCGCCAATATATTATGCTTTACAGGCGACCGTCTCATAAAACGTGATAGTTTTCTCAAATGCTAATTAATAGCTAACATTTTGTAAATTATAGACGTTAATTGTGAAAAATGTTTGTATTGCATCGATCAGAGAAATATAATAAGTGGTTTTAGTTTGAGTGAGATGATCATCTCGATGGATGCGATCATTGAAATGAATCTAACTACTATTGTTAAATGCCACGCCTTTCTATAGTACGCCATTCGTACAGTATGTTATTATTTTTCATTCACGCTCCACGTGGGATATTGGTTCCATATTCTCTATTTAACCAAACGTGGGTTTTTCTGAAATGTTTCTGAAAAAACTGTTCCTCTGAGGAAGCCTTACCCTTTGCATTCGTTCGACTTCACTTCTTAAAAGAGAGCTTCGTCTTCGGTAGTTTATTATAACTAGACTCTGCGCGCAGAATAAGGAAGCCTGTGTTTGAGTTTGCGCATTTTGGGTTGGGGTTGACATTGAAACTGTGCAATAAAATCAACACAAATGTAATTCAATGTAACCTTACAATGAAAATATATTTGATCCATGAATAAAATTACACATCCCACCATAAGTTTGGCAATTTTTTGAATCGACAAAGCAATGGAATATGGTTGGTTCGGGGCAAATCAGATTTCTATTCAGTAAAGAATTCATAATATAGAAAATTGAACTTTTTTAAAATAAAGAAACAGAGCCTCAAAGTCATTTTTGAAAATCATATCTCGCCTCTTGTGTTATTTCAATGGGAGGAGTTTTTTGCGAAAACTTGGATGGATGGATATTCCGTCATATGACTTGCGGCAAACCTACCATTTCCCATTGGTTTACATGGTAATGTCGATTTTCAAAAAAACAACAATTAGATTTGTCATCAATATCCGACCCTTTGTAAATGGTGAAAAAATAGAAAAATTGGAGGGTTTGGAACTTATATTTCCAGGCCTAAAAGTAGTTATTTCTTTACAGATTGTGCAAATAGAAATTCAAACATAAGGAGGCTTTAAAACGTATTTCAATGGGGGTATTTGTGTTGCGGAACTGATGGAGGGGAGTGTACATGGATAGAAATATAGTTCATTTCAACATCGGTGTTTCGAATGAGCAACAGACAATTCATTTTCGCTAGATGTAAACTCAGGCTCAGTAACCGACTCATCATTCGAAATTCAAAGTCGAAAAATCGAGTATTCAAAATTTTCCCCATATTGGTGACATATCTATTCAAATGCTACATATTTTCAATATGTATTTCATTTTGAAATAAAGCAAAACTGAGACGCAGAAATTTTAAAGAACCATCAGCATTAAGACTATTCCATGTATTTTTAGAAAGTCTTCGTGTTATAAAAAGTTGTTATAGAAAAACGATATTTCGGAATATAGGACGTCTGCGTTTTCAATAACTTCGTATAG